ATTTCTATTTGATTAACTAAATTCAATTATTGTTTAAATATTTAAGTGAAAACTGTGCACGTATTGTTACATGAATTATTAATTTCGTCCTTTAATGCTATTTCATAACTTGGCTAATAAAACGGATGTCATGTTAATTTAATTGTATTGATCGTCGTCTTATTTATGAAAAGATAGTGAACGGTACAAGAATCTTCGAAGGATGGAATTCAGATCTTTTTTTCTTTGATAACGGTGTTAGTATAAGTAAAGTATTAATAATATATAAATGCGATTAACATTGAATTATTAAAAGCGGATATTGATTTCACAAGTAAATTCTTTTAATCTGATTAATTTTTTGTATTATATTCATGCATCTGGAAATGCTTTTCAATGAATCATCATAAAACTTTCATATAGTTGTAGATAAATTGGACATCATGGTAAACAAGCTATTCTTTTTTTCTCTTGTAAGCAAAGAATACAGTGATTTAATACTGTTGAAGTAATCGATCGATTTTAATACTTGATTTTAGTTTCGAATCAATAGAAGATCGAAGGAGTTTTAGTATATATATTGTTAATTCGAGTCATACTTGGTGTGAGTGTATCTTCTCACAATCCCCATCCATACCAGTTTTACTGAGTTTTAAATAAAATTCGTTTGAACTATTTATTATTACTAATAAATATGAAATCCTTTCCATTCTATTACTAAACTACATTTTTTTTCACGATCATCTTGAGAGTGTGGGATGATACAACAATAACATAAGTTGTTCAGGAGATATTTATTGACGCTAGCAGTAAATCTCCGCGCGCATTAACAATGACTCATTACAGTCTTGAATGAATATGTCTAATGATTTCAACAGAGCATAGTTATTCCGGATATGAATTATATCAATTCCCTGACCAATTTGATTGAAATGACTCATTTTCAGTAAAGATATTCCGTGTTTTCTCTGGAATATTCTAAGAGCATGTTTTAAATACATTGCATTTTGTTTCATTTCGAGCGATGTATTGTAGTCAGTCTTGAGCATATCGTGAGCCGCCTGACGGAGCCTCTTGATGTCCTCGAACTTACCGTCGTTCACATCTATTATTCGAGCTAAGCGGCGCAAACTGACAATACTATTGTATGAATACAATCGCTCGAAAACGTGGATTGTAGACCCGTCTTTAATATTATAATCGCTTAACGTAACATCGTCTTCCAATTGTTTTCCATTGTAAACCAGCCGCTGATAAGCTTCTTCGATACGCCAAGTATCAAAAATGATGGTTTTTAAGTGCATTATAACTAAATTACACGAAACAGAAGTCGTCATTCTCTCACCATCTAATGAAACAATGTTCAATTTTATATAACTGTGTTCCGAGTCATGAGTATTTTCAGGTAGAGAAGATACTACATTTGGTATATTCATGTTTTTCAGAATGATCACCATAAAGAATTCATTCGGAATGTTGTACGCAGCCAATGTCGTATTTTTTTCCAAAGTATTCCCTTTGTGAATGAGCTCAGCTTCTCTTGTATAATGGTTCCATCCAATCGACCTGCAAACATTTGTTATAAAAGTTTGAACTGTAATGGTCCTGCTTGTTTTAAAGGCTACTTCTTCGGATTTGCTATTTCGTAAGTCAATACATTTAATAGTTCCAGTTATTAGAGATGTTGATTCACTTGAAACGACCGGCATCGCATCTCGTTGTATTATTAGTATTTTCTCAAACATATTCAACGATATTTCTAAATGTCGAATATAATGATGAAGGGCTTTTCTATTGTTTTGACGAGCCTCATACAATTGACCCAGCTCATAACTCAATACCGGTAAAATGCTCAAGTTACCATAATAGAAGGTTGTGGAATAATCATATACAGTTAGTGAAAGATTTTGTAATAATAGCTCGATTCGATCATATTCCACAGAATCAAATCCATTGTTGTTGTTATCAGAAACATGTTTTCGAAGACAATTCTAGCATATATCCTCAGCGCACATATCGGGCTTAGAAAGAGCCATTTTGAGCACATTGATATCCTCTTTAGTACAATCCTGCACGACTCCTGCAAGCTTGCGAATGATTGTATCGTAGCCCAAGCTCAAGAGTGGATGTTTATCATTTGATACTTTTTCCAGTACTTCCAAACTCGCTCTATAGTAACGTAACTGCTGAGTATGCTCAAATCTTTCTTCATATGCATCACCTAGTTTAATGTAACCAGCCATGCGATTGCGGTGTTCTAAAGAAATTTCGTCGACCATCAGGTTAATATTCTGTAATGTTTCATTATTGGATACCGATTCGCTAAAAAAATCGATCAAGATTTCTCTAGATGTGCCATTTGTGCTATTTAAAGAATGATCTTCGATACGTTCTAGTCGAAGTTGAACATACCAGATCTCTTCAGTGGGCTTTTCTACCGATACAACTTCAAAGATAGCTCTGAATTTGAATAAATATTCGTGCTCCCCTTTGAATTTGCTTAGGTGCGCTATATTGCAATATGGCATCGCTGGATGCTTATCAGAAGATGGAAGATCAATTTGAAAGAAGACTGATTCATAAAATGGACGTTGTTGTCCTTCGCCACTGTAGAGCAAAGCTATTGACGATGATGAAGATGTCGATAAGAAGCCATTCATAGTGATTTTTTTACCGGTTTGTTTCTTGAGTTCTTCTAACTCGTCTTTTGGTAACAATTGTCCTCGATAAAGCGTTGTTACTCTTGCATCTTTTCCTTGCATCTGTTTCCAATGCAATTCACGAATTTGTTGATGAAGATCAACGATGAAAAAACGAAAGGCATGAATGACTTCGGTATTTCGTGTTCTCAGCGCCTTGTTCAAAAGGCGATACGCGAATGAGTCTTTAGTATACCAATGCAGTGCATCTTGTGAAGTGTAAGTTTTCTCAAATTCATCAATTTTGTACTGCTCCATTTTGTCCTTTCGATAGTAATAACGGCATTGCATAATCATGGCTTCTTTAGATAATGGATCAGTATGGTCGATGTTGACAGTGGCTGCTAAAATATCTTGGTGAATTCTGAACTCAAAATTCTCTGCGCTCTGTATTGATTTTTCTTGTATTGAAGCAGAACAGAACATACTCATAGGATCCAATATTTTTGTGAATAAACGAACATCTTCTGTGATAGTAGCATACAGCTTATGCTTGTCATCAAATGTTCCGCGAATTTTCATTCGAGTTATCCCCAAATTAGAAGACGACTTGCAAAAGATATATATGAAAACAATATTTGAAAGGTCACAGATGCTGTCAATAATGATAGAGGCAAGTGAACCAGACACAATAAAAAAGATATTTTGGTCTTCAGCATGCTCACTTTTCATGTAGTTTAAGCACGCATCTTCATCTGAGAACACTTCCAAGCGTTTAAAAATAGATCGAAGTTGATTTTGAGTATCAAGACAATCAGCAGACGTATTGATTATTGCATCTAACCATACAATGCTAAATTCTGTATGATTTTCATTTGAGTTCGACTCATTGTTGTCTTCATCTTCGGGTAAGAAATTAAATAGACTGACGGCAGGTAGTGGTCTGATTACGTCATCCATTAGACAAGTTGAAAACCGAATAATGAAACCGAACTAATACGTTTATTTATCGTGGTAACGTCTGCGAATCTTTGTATAAGTTAGGTTTATACGTATGGTACTAGACGAGATATAGAAGCGAGCTAAAAATAAAAGAAACAATATGTTTTTATCGCCAACTGTATCTAATTGCGAAATAATCATCGAAGAATAAGTACTTTTCTCACCAAATCGGGGTATGGGTGAAGATAATGGTGTGAATATGTATCTTGTTGGCAGCACCATCTACTCACCCTTACCTGATCTACCCATATCCTAAAATATCTACTTAAAACCGTTAAATTATAGGAATAATCTATCTTCAATATGGTGGTTATAGGGCTACAGCTTGAATTTTCAATGAATCCAGTACTACTTAAGAATCTGAGGGTGGATGTGGTTGCGGATCTGTGTTCTTCATCTATATCCAGATCTACCCATAACTTTTATATCATTTGCAAAGCTCAAGTACTGCTCTTCTCAGAAAAGACACTCACTATAATATACTCATGAGGAGTAGTGACATTTGAATAACATTGTAGTAAGGTTCAACGCTTTACTTTAAATCCTCAAGATTAGCAATGAACACACTTTCGTCGGTAATTGTTAACCAAACTTTTATTTATATTTTGCATCAATTTAAACGGTAAAAAACTTCGCCTCCAGTTTCATTTTATTGAGACTAACTTGATTATGCTATAATTGAGTAGTTTTATTCTGCTGTCGATGAAAATTGTGTCAAATTTTGCAAGCAAAAATGTTTTTATGTACGAATATTTATAAGAATATAATAAACTGAATTTTTTATATAAATGATTTTTTTCGAGTAAGAAAGAATGAGATATTGCCCTCGATCGAACAACAAAAATAGATGGCAAAAGCCACCTTTTTGAAGGCTTCATTGTGTGTGCGCAGTTCTGCAACCTATCAAAGGTAATGACGTTTACTGACTGTCAGATACTTGAATGCAAATATAAACAGAAAGAAAAATTCAAATGTTGTTTTCTCTTTGCGCATTTTGTAATTAACGAAGTGTACACTTTTTTTTGTTCTATTCCATTTGAAAAAACCGAAAAATAACAAGTAACGCATTGGCCTTGAATTTTTTCGTAGCTCAAGGTTTAAACCAAATTATAGAGAAAAAATACCTAATGAAAAATTTCTAACCAGGGAACCAATTCAAGTGAAAAATCGCTTTTGACTTCGAGCTTAGTGCATAAGATAAACCTCAATAAGATACGAAAAACCCTAAAATGGTAAGTGCCCATAGGCCTTCCTTCCAGAGATATAGGCATTTTACTGAAATTTTAGCCTTTATCATGATATACACCTATAAATCGGATATCGGTATTTCGATCTCCAATTTTACCTTGAGGTAACCTTGCGTGCCAGTAGAAAGCCCTGCAGCTTTCAGCTCAACAGCAATTTTTATTTCTCAATACATTGAAGTTTTAAAAAATCACTCATATCCCAATAGAGGCGCCAAAAGGACGAATGAGTGTTCGTGCCTGTCATCACACAATCCAAACTCACACCCTTAAAATCATATATTCCATAATATAAATCAGAGCATAACGAATATGATGTAGCTGTTAGTTTCATTTATTTATTGGTAAGGTTATTAGTAAGTGTAGCAAGATGATTTCAATCACGTTAATGAAGATAATGAAAAGAATAAGATTGATCAAGTTCAAGTCCAAACAACGGTGGGAAGAAGACCTATGAGGCGAAAGTTACTCATAATTTTGAAAAAATCAATATGAGATACCTTCACGAGTTCGAAGACTGGGCAGATAATTTTCTTCATTCAGAAAATAAATTGGATATTCAACAACTAGACCTTGAATATTTTTCAATTTCTCGTGAGCCTAATCGTAAACAAATATTTTAACAATCGAATCAGATGGATATGAAAACTTACTTGATTTGGATGAGTATCTTTGAGTTTGGGCTTGTCAGTATAATTGTACATCTGATCAAAACGTCGAACACAATTAGTAGGTAATACCCCAAAAGTTTCTTCGTAGATTAAGGTATTTTTATGCGCAACCTCTCGAAAATAATTATAAAATTGATCAGAAACGGGATCGGTTACATCGATTTTATTTTCGTTATGTCCCATTGTTCCAAGCATCATTCTATTCGTTTAAACAGAAATCAGTCAGATAAGATTTTCAAAAGAAAAAGCATACGAAAAGAGTCTTCGACGCCAGCTAGAACAAAATTTTCCAACGCGAACCGATCGACCATTAAACAGACATTGTTCCTCTTCAATATCATTGATCACTACACAAAGTTCACTATCACGTTCACCCAATAGAGAACGATCATTGATATTTGCACTTCCACAAATTGCCATTCGATCATCCACAATCATCAATTTAGAATGAACAAAGATAATCTCTGTTGCCTATGATAATAAATTTATGTATCGAGCGATATATTATCGGCACCGAAAAAAATCGTTTTACTACATACCAAAACGCCCATTAGTATATCATACTGTCTTAGACCAAAAAAAGTGATATAATCATTGGGTTGAATACCTGAAAAATATTGGTACAATAAATTGATGATATTTATCACTAACCTGCTTTTTCAAGCCGTTTGAATAGTGAATTATCTCCTTTGGCAATCGATCGCATAATAAAATAGAGAGAAGCTTGAACGATATTGACATTATCGGAGCCAGGCAAAAGAGGAAGGACAATATAGATACGAAATTTTTCTCCCAATCTAATTGAAATTAAATGGTCCATATATGGAGAAGGAAAAAATATATTTACCTGTGAGCACGTACAATCCGTTGATAGAGAGTCTCTGACACTGGATTCTGAATGAATGAATCATTTGCCACTGTCACGAAAAATTCATTCTTCATATCAAAAG